GCAGGCGATTTGGCCGAAGTGGTCATTGTACGACCGGACGAGGAGATAAACTCGTCATAGCTTCTAGATGAAGCTGTCTTGAAGAACATCGAGAGAGTGCTGAACACACGAAGTGGATCGTCAATCCTACGGAATTCCTTGAATCCGTACTATTCTTTTATAAAGGAATTCAAGACGTCGTCTCCAAAGACTCGCCTTCGGTCCTACCTCCGGACCGAGGTGTGCGTCATGAGATCGACCGGGTTCCGGAAACCAAATACTGCGTAACTCGCCAAGGCCCCAGCCCAAGGAGCAGTGCGACGTCATTGACGCCTTTTTCCGTGCGAAGCGGCGCAGGGATGGTGCGTGGGTGCAATTCTCCCCATTCGGCACCCACGTTTTGTGTTCAGAAGCCGAACGGCAAGTGGCGTATCGTTCATGCTTACAATAAGCTCAACGCTGCCACCATTCCGGCATAGACGCCGAATCCTAGAAAGGATGTTTTTTAGAGCAACATGGTGGGATGTACGAAGTACAGTGCACTTGACTTGGTCGATGGGTATTACCAATTGCTCATGAGAGCGAGTGATATTCCGCTAACAGCGGTGAGCACCTTGAGCGGCATGCTCTGGCGAGGCTGGTGATGCCACAAGGGCTATCAAATGCACCAGCAACACTTAATCGTCTTGTGACGCAGTTGTTCAGGCCCACCGGGAGTATGCATAGACATACTTTGACGACATTTTCGCTCACAGTCGTGCGGAGCACGGGAGAACAGATGAGGAGAATCACATCGTCCATTTGAAAGCGGTGCTCGAGTGCATGCGCACGAACAAACTATACGCCGATACGGACAAGTGCATCTTTGGCGCAGAAGAGATTGCCTTTTCAGGATGCTCTATTGGGAAGCGTGGCCTTCGAGCGGATCCCGCTAAGGTCAAGACCATTGCAGTAGACTGGTCGGTTCCAAAGAACCAGAAGGACTTGCGTAAGTGGCTTGGTCTCGCCAACATAGCGTAAATTTTGCAGAAATGGTCCCGCCATCATCCAATCTCCTTAAAACGGATGCGGAATGATATTGGAACACCGAGCATCAGGAGGATCTTGACGGGGACAAAGACAGCTTCCTGCATGCACCAATACTGGCGCTGCCAGACCCCGATCGTCCTTTCAGCGTCGTCTATGACGCTTCGGACTTTGCCATCGGCTGGCCACTGCTGCAAACAGAT